TTTTTCTCATTTCACAATGACCAAACTGACCCACCTGGGGAGCTTCTCCCTCCACCCCAACCAAGAGGATCCATTGTACTTGGCATCTTCAGAATCTTGTCGCTCTATCTCTGATCCAGGACCCAGAAGTCATCGCAGCCCAGGACATAACTGCCCTTTTGTTTTCCATTTTGTTGTGTTCCATTTTTTGTTGAGGTATAATTCACATGTAGTAAAGTACACAAATCTTAAGTGTACAGTTCAGCCAGTTCTGACCAATATATACATTCAATTAATCTGCATCACCGTCAGGGTACAGGACATTTCAATCCTTCAAGAAAGTTCCCTCATGTCCCTTCTCCATCAAGCTCTTGCTCTCATAGTAAAGGCAACGTAATAGTAGTAGAGGCAACTATTATCCTGACTTCTAACACCATCAATTAGTTTTGCTTATTCCAGAATTTCATATAAGTAGAATTATACAGTGTGTGCTCTCTTGTACCTGGCTCCTTTCACTCGGGATAATGCTTTTGAGATTCATTCATGTTGTCATGTGTTCCAGCAATTCGTCTCTTTATTGCTGAGTAGTATTCCATGGCACAAGTATGCCACAGTTTGTATCCACTCACCTATGCTGGTGGATATTTAGATCACTTCCTGTTCTTTGCTATTACAAATACTGCTGCTATAAACACTTGTGTAGTACAAGTCTTTTCTGGACATCTGGTTTCCTTTCTCTTGGATAGATATTTGAGAATTGAACTGCTCGATCATATGTTAAGTGTACATTTACCTTTTTAAAGAACTGATAGCTTTCTAAAGTGACTGTACTGATTTACACTCCAATTTACAGCAACGTATGAAGGTTCCACTTGCTCCACATCCTCTGCAGCATTTGGTATTGTTAGTCTTTCTAATTTTAGCCATTCTGTGTGTGGTGGTGTCTCATTCTCATTTTCATTTACTTTTTGCTCATAACTAGTGATGTTGAGCATCTTTTCATGTGTTTATTGGCCATTTAGATATCCTTTGTGTGTGTGTGTGTGTGTGTGCATAACTGCCTCTTAATGCCCATGAAGCTAGCGACTGGACACTGGAATGGTGCGGTCCCAAACTCATCACCTTGGCAACCCTACTTGTCAGCAGAAAACAGCCAGTTGAGCAGAGGATGATCTCTCTGGCTTTCCAATTTCATACAAGGGCCTCTAATTAGCAGAGTTGAATCTGCATCCAGAACTCCATATCAAGGGCATCTTTGAAAAGCAGTATCAGCTTTTTCATCTCCACCCCATGGGAAGATGGAATGAGGGGGGAGTGGACGCCCAGCACCAGTTCCCCAGTTAAGATGAAGTGGGTCAGCACTGCCCTAGTTCTGCCCTGGAGGCTGTCAGGCATGCTCGTGTGTTGGTGATTCCTCAAGTTCAGGCTGTGCTCCAGTGGTGGCATGCGAAATCGTTTTAGGCCCCAAACAATATTAACTCACATTGAATTGCATCACGAGAGTAAATTGCTTTTTGAATATCGTTTAATCCATCAAAGGATATGAGGGAGGAAGACTCTGTTTAGTAAAGAGACGGCTGGCTTTTGTGCTCAGCTCCTGGAAGGTAATCTCTAAGCCCCTGGAATGTCCTGCCTGAAAAGAGTGTCTTTCCTTACCCGGGGGACTTGGGCCAGCCTAGATAGTTTTTAACAATGGGATTTATGGTAGGGCCTTTGGGTCACAGGTATCAGCCCCAGAGGGGCTGGAAAGTAAGGTGACCACGTGGGTGGTCAGTCATGTCTTTGTGACTGAGCTCCAATAAAAACTTTGGACACCAAAGCTTGTGGGAGCTGCCCTGGTTGGCAGTACTCCATGTGCACTGTCACACATTGTTGCCAGAAGTTAGCACTGTCCACAGCTCCACTAGGAGAGGACAACTGGGGGTTTCATGCCTGGAACACTCCTGGACTCTGCCCTATGTGTCTCTTTCCTTGGCTAATTCTAATCTGGTTCCCTTCACTGTAGGGAACTGTAAAACACTGTTATTTCACTGTAATAAACCATAACCGTGAGAATAACGACTTTCAGTGAGTTCCGTGAGTCCTTTTAGTGAATTATCGAACCAAAGGGTGGTCTTGGGCACACTCAGTCTTATAGTTGGCATCAGAAGTGAGGGTGCTTTCGGGCCCCCCAAACTCTGCAGTGTCTTTGGGCAGTAAGGAAACAATCACAGCCCTGACACCTGATGCTCTCCTCCAACAGAGCGGACTCTGGCCTCCAGCTCAGAGCCCTCAGCCAGCAACTCAGTATCCAGCTCGAATGCAGTCTATCTTTCTCCTTGCTTGTCTTCATTGGATTTATCTTTTTGGCTATCTTCTATTTATATGAGGCAGTATTGGTTTTCCATATATCACTGTGCCTTTTGAGGGGGCGTTTATTTTGGCCACGCCATGCAGCATGCAGGATCTTAGTTCCCTAGGCCAGGGATCTAACCTGTGCCCCCTGCAGTGGAAGTGTGGAGTTTTAACCACTGGGCCCCCAGGGAAGGCCCCCTCACTGTGCCTTTGAAAATATATTTATTTAAGTTAAAAAGGGAGTTCTTCTCTTAAAAAATGAATAATAATACAGGTGGGATAAAAATGGGGCAAAAATTGAGAAAAGAATCTATCTACAATGTCATATTATTTGTGATATATTCTGATATTTTATTTTCTGTTTTATTACTTCTTTATCTTTTTTTTTTTTTTTTAATGCTACTCACAGCCCACTAAACTGATTTTGTAACCCCGGGAACAGGCTATGACCTGAAGTTTGTGAAACGTTGTTATGCAACCGCCTTGAACAGGACCTTGTCTCTTGGCTTCGGCATGATGACCCTTGACCCTGAGCAGAGGTCCCCACCCCAGGCCCTGCACTTCAGAGGGCCTGCTCCCACCTCATCTGGTTGAGTCCCTCCCCACGGGCTGCAGAACCTAAGGGCTTTCAGGAAGTGCCCACAGGTGCCTGTGCCCCTTCTCAACCATGCTCTGGGCCCCCAGGACCCTGGAATTCCCCACCCACGCTACTCTGAGCCCACTCCAGGGCCTGCGTGGCTTTCTTTGTGGGCACAGCCCTAAGACCAAGAGGCAACCAGGGGTGTGGATGGACCTTGGATGTGCAGGGTGGGGTGTCCACACTCACATGCTGAGGGACCCAGAGTGGGAAAAAAGAGGGTCACCGTGGGCCTGGGCCCTCCCTCTGTGTTTGCCCGGTTAGCAGTGCTGCCTCTCAGTGTCAGGGGTGAGCTGGCTTTGGACACCAGGCTCTGCACAAGGACCAGGCCAGGGGTCTCGATCTGCCATGGGTGGAATCCAACACTGACCCTCCCATTGGCCAGATTCCCCTATGGCCCATCCCTGCCCCCATCCTTCCCACCTCACCCAGGCTGGCTTCGTTCACTGTGGCCCCCAGCTTGGCTTTGGAGTCTCTGACTCCCTCACTTTACTCCTGGGGGCCCTGCCCCAGCCTCTGCTGCTTTCTTCCACTCCCCGGTCAGGAATGATCAGAGAACATGGCGCAAAGAACACAGTGCTTTACTTCTTTTTGGAACAGAATGGATAAATGGGGAGCCAGTCAGCCTTCAGGGAGGGCAGGGCTGGGAGAGTAGGGGGCTCAGGCCACCAGTTCCGGCTCTGGCTCCATCCACGTCCTACCTCTCAGGCTGGGCTTTGTTGACTAGTCTGTAGGTCCTTCGAGGGGAGGGAGGAGGCCAGGCACGGTGAGCCAGCGGGGGCTCAGTCTCGGGGTGCCCATCGGGTCATCAGCCCCCACTTCCGACGGACTCATCTGTCATGACTCCGGCATAACCGGGGCAACTGCCTACACTTGCCACCTGTAGGTGAAGGAAATGGTTCAGTCATGAGTTGGAACAATATTGATTATTGTGGTGATCTGGGTGCTGGAGGATGAGCCTCCCCTCGGGAGGCTCCAAGGCAACTCTGAGCAAGTGACAGGAAGCTGACGGAGGAAGAGCTGGTGCAAGGGTCCACAGGGGGGACCTCCCCCCACCCCTACGCAGAGGAGCCCTAGCTTGTGTGTCATTCATGTGTGCAGCAAACATTTATTGTGCACCTACTCTGTGCCAGGCAGTGATCTAGGCACTGGGAACACAGCTGGGAGCAAGAATGGATAAAATCCCTGCCCTAGTAGAGCTTTCTAGTGGGGGAGACCGACAATGAGAAAAAGAACTAAGTGAAGTGCACATACAGTGATGTGTCAGACAGTGATGCATGCTATGAAGAAAAATAAAACAAGGAAGGATGCAGGGAGACCCAGGAACTGAGGGCATCCTCATGGCAGTGAGGCTGGGCCAAAGCAAATGAGGGGGATCTTAGAAAACAAAGGGGACTTCGGAAAACAGCCCTCTCCCATCTCCTGGCTGCCACCCTTACCTACACCTCCCTGTCCCTCTAGACTCACCTCCTACCCCTCTCCCGCTCACACTGCCCCAGCCACCCTAGCCTCTTCCCGCGGTTATTGCAACACGCTAAGCTCATTCCTGCGTCTGGGGCTTTGCATTTGCTGCTCCCTCTACCTGTTTTTTAAAATCATCTTTCTTATCAGAATCCATTCTGATTTTACCTCCTTAGAGGGAGTGCCTCTCCCCATCCTTCTCAATCCATCTTTATTTTCCTCCTGGTAATTCTCTTTTTCTGTATCTCTGCTCCACTCTGTTCATTAATGTGTTGAGCTGTTTATTGTCATCCCCCCACCAGCTGTGAGTTCTCCGAGGGTGGGGACCAGGGCCCCCAGCATCACAGCACAGGCTGGGCACAGAGTAGGTGCTCATAAATATCACTGGAACAGTTTATGGCCCCAGAGCTAACATTTAGGCTCTGCCCTCACACAGACCTGGGTCCAGTCATTCCCTGATTTTTCTGTGCTGTGCGACCTTGGACAAAGTTCTCAACTCTCTGAGCCTCACTTTTCCCACAGGGGAGAGAACAGGGTCTGGCACTAAGTCAGGATCTATAAGCACAAGTTGAACAACTGAGGCAACAGTGCTTGACTCCCTGATTCAACAGGATCAGACACGCATCAGCGATCTCTTTTTAATTCTATCAGTGTTCTGTCTCCCACCTTAAGGCAAAAAGCTGAGGCTGTGCCCATTTTCCTGATTGAGGAAGTTGGACAAGAGAGGTCACTCATAAAACTTGGCGTGGGTTGTACAGCTTAACTGAGAGCTTGCAAACTGTTGCCTGCATGCTTTACTTAATCTGTAACTTTTTTTTTTTTTTTTTTTTTTTTTTTTTTGCGGTACGTGGGCTTCTCACTGTCGTGGGCTCTCCCGTTGCGGAGCACAGGCTCTGGACGCGCAGGCTCAGCGGCCATGGCTCACGGGCCCGGCCACTCCGCGGCATTTGGGATCTTCCCGGACTGGGGCACGAACCCGTGTCCCCTGCATCGGCAGGCGGACTCTCAACCACTGCACCACCAGGGAAGCCCCTTAATCTGTAACATTTTTTAAACTTCTTAAAAAATTAGTTTCTCCAGTTGGTAATCTCCCTTTGCCCCCCTTCCTCGCTGGACACTGGGCCCTGGGAGGCTGACTTGAGAGGCCGCAGCCCACAGGCCCTGGAGGGAGAGAGGAGGGCAGGAGGAGAGAGAGGCTGAGGTATCCGATCCCCTCGACCCCTGCCCTGCTCCCTCCCGGTGGGCTTACCAGGAGGCACGGCTGGAAACCTCTCTCTGAAGCCACAGTTCCTGCCTGGGGCCCCCTCCTCCGCCATCAAAGCTTCCTGCTATTGCTAATCCTGGGGAGCTGCACCATCGCATTCCCCTGCCACCGCTGTGTGAACAAGCGCAGGCTAGCCTGCTGGAGGAGAAAACCACCAGGTGAAGAACTGAGGTGCCCATAGAAGCAGAGCTCCCTGCTGACCCGCCGCTGACCTCAGACACATGGATAAATTCAGCTGCAACCAGAAGAACCATCCAGCTGAGCCCAGCCTACGTTTCCAAATTGCAGAATTGAGAACTCAGTAAATGGTTATCATCTTAAGCCACTGAACGCTGGGGAGGCTTATATGGATATGCCTCCTTTAAAACAACCTTGCTCAGGGGCCTTCAAGAACCTACCCTCCGTCAGAGCCCAAGCCAAGGCCTCCTCCCTCCCAGTCCTGATGCCCCTCCCCTCCAACCCCCGTTCTCACTAGTGAGGATGACGATGCCGGTGATGAACAGCACGGCTGCCACCAACAGGCCCCGTTTCCTGAGGGTGTCCTCGTCTGCAGAGGGAGAAATGGAGGCGTGTGGCGAGAGGGGCCTGCACCCTCCTCTCCCCACAGCCTCCCATGGGTAACTTACCATAGGAGAAGGGGTCGTCCTCGCTTGAACCTGGAGGGGACAGAAGGGACCAAAGGTTTGTGGAGTGAATCGGTGAGTGAGAGTCAGAGTCACAGCAGAGACACCTGGGTCTCAGCCTTGGTGCACTTAGAGCAAAACTGAAGTCCTTAGCACACAGTCTGGTTCCCTTCACCTCTAACCTTTTCTCCTCACTTGCCCCCCTCACTCACTGTGCTCCACCCCCACCCCCACCCCCCGCTGGTGACCATGCAGACCCTTTCTCACCCCAGGGCCTTTGCACTGGCTGCTCCTGCTGCCTGAAGCTCCCTTCCCCAGATGTCCACATGGCTCCCCCTCAGCTCCTTCTCAGTGAGGTCTCCCTGGCCCTTTACAGAAAATACCCTCCAGTCATTCTCTCACCCTAACCCTGTTTCGTTTTTCTTTTTTTTCCTTTTTTTCTTCGTTTTTCTTGATAGCAGCTTAAAACCACCCGATATATAGTTATTATGATTCTTATTTATTGTCTCTCTCTCCCCATGAAAAAGTTTCCTTCATTAGGGAAGAGATTTTTGTCTGTCTCATTCACTGCCGTACCCCTGGCACCTAGAGCAGTGCCCAGCACACAATAAATGCTCAATGAATATTGCTTGAATGAATGAATGAATGAACCCTCTATATGACCCGGGGGTGTATCATTTCCATCTGTTCACTGGGGTTGGCTGGACAGGAAGTGGAAGATAAGACCGGGAGGGGAAGAATCAAGGTGACCCTACAAACCGAGCTCCCTGCTGAGCCCAACCTGATCTCCAGTGCACAATTAAGTCCAGCTGAGGGCAGAGAAGCACCCAGCCAAGCCCAGACTAAACTCCTAAACTGCAGACTTGAGACCTACATAAATGGTTGTCATTTTTTTTTTTTTTTTTTTTTGGTTGCGTCTGGTCTTAGTTGCGGCACGTGGGATCTTCACTATGGCATGCAGGCTCTTTTAGTTGTGGCATGAGGGAACTAGTTCCCTGACCAGGGATTGAACTGGGGCCCCTGCGTTGGGAGCGTGAAGTCTTAACCCCTGGCCCACAAGGCACGTCCCTAAATGATTGTCATTATAAGCCATTGGGTTTTGGGGTCGTCGGCATGCAGCGCTCACTTATGCATTCGTTCATCTATTCAGACATTTATTGTGTGTCTACCCTGTGCCCACCCACAAGATCACTAGCCCTGAAGTCAGGTATTCGCCTGACACCTGTTTACTGAGCACTATTCTGTGCTGGGCAGTACTGAGGCGCTAAAAACACACAGTGAGTAGGAAATAGCTTGTGTCCAGTCTGGGAAGGGAGTTACTGACCAGTCTGCCTGAGGGCGGGGTCCGTCCTGACGTTTTTGCGTGGGAGTTGGGTCTTGGGGGGCGTGGGGCCTTGAGTGGGATCAGCAGAGAGAGTGGCCAGAAGATGGTGGAGGGCAGGAGTGAGCCGTGGAGGGAAACAAAAGACAACTGAACGTCTGCGTCTGGGAGAAGCCCCTCTCCCACGCCTACCTTTAGGGCACAGGCCAGGTATCCCCGCCTCCCACCCACAGAGGCAGCCAGGAGTGGCAGGTATGGAAATACTGCAATAAGCCTGCACCCCCTGATTAGGACCAACAGCTCTGACTCCCGAGGAACCCCTGGCTCCTCTCCTAGGACCGCCCGGACCACCCCGTGATCGGGAATAAAGGGTCACATCTGTCAGAGCCAGACAGGGGCCTCTAGAACCCTGACCCAGTTACAGAGCCTGGAGATACTTGTTAGAAACCATGTTGAATTTCGCCTCTGCTCCCAGACCAAAAACACCAGCGGGTTCCTCTCTTTAAAAAAAAAGAAATCAATACCCAAGGGAAGACCTGCCCCTCTGGCACTGAGAAACGTCCTCAGTGAGGTGGCCATCCCTGACTGATGCCCCGGTGTGAAGCCAGAAAGCAGAGAAGCTGCCTCATGAACTGGCTCCCCAGGCCAGCCTCAGCACCTCGTTTCCTAAATATGAACCGATTACGAGATGTTCAGGAAACCTTTTTCCAAGAAAAGGGATAAGCCAGATCAAGGGTAAAGATGGAGGGACCACAGGAAATGTAATAAAAGCACAGCCTCAGTGGTATGTGGTGCTCATGCCCCGCCCCCCCGGCCCTCACCCCGGCCACCCCAGTGTGTGGGAACCTGGGCTCGAATTCTGGTTCTGCCACTTTGCACTGTGTGGCCTAGGGCCAGCCAAGTAACCTCTCTGGGCCTCAGTTCCCTTCCCTGTAAAATGGGGTACCGACAGCTCCTCCCACATAAGGTAGCTGTCAGCAGTGAACGAGTGACCACGTGAAAGCTTAGCACAGTGTGTCTGTCCCGCATGGAGCAAACCCTTAGCACGTTGTTGCTATTGTCTACCTGGCTCTCACTCCTCCCTTCTGGCAACAGTTCCCTTTCTTTGGGGGGAAATGTTCCTGCTTCCCCAGACCATCTGGGTCTCCTGTTGTAACCCAGCCACAAGGGGGAGCATGTGACCCAGTCTCACCTTT